GGATGGATGGTGTTGTATTTGTATAGTTTTACGTTGAACGTCTCAGTGCTAACTCTCCTCACATATAAAAACATCAACTCATCACTCTCACAGCCCTTTAATACAATTTCGACGAAAAAATATTTCTCTCCTTTTATCATTGAAAGTATCGCATGACAACGCGTCACGCTATAGCGACGTGAAAAATAAAAATTAATTCAATCATTTTTTTCATTATAAATTAAGAAAGGTATGGGTTGATTCTACCATGAATCTTGAACGTATCCAAGGAGAAAAAATATTTTTTTCAACTTGTTTCACGCAGTATGTTTATGTGTGTATGTGTATTTGTTTGTGTATTTTTAATACGTTTGTGTGTGTACATTTGTTTGTGTATTTGTATGCGTATTTGTATGTGTATTTGTATGTGTACCTGTATGTGTGCAAGTGTATTTTTATTTCCTAATACAAACTTTTTTGAAAAATGGTGTTAAAGATACGTCGCATCAACTTAAAACTTTTGTTAAAATAAAGACGTTTCAGGCCTTTTTCAAGTAAATAGCCCATGTATGTAACAAACACATGTAACAAACTTGTTATCTACCTATCTGAGGAAAAATTTATGATAATCTTGTAAGTTTAAAATTGAAGAACTGAAATGATATTTTTAAGAATAAATTCTGTAAATGTCATAAATATCTAGCAGCACATAAAGATGAATAGAGAGATGTGCCAGTTATCGGTGTAATATAAACAAAAGTCTGCATCAGTTTCACATTCTCCCATTTTGTTTCTTTCTTCGTGTGGTTTTTTGACGTTTAATTTAATTCAAATTTTTTTTCAATATTTTTATTGGTTGCAAATGTGGGCAGTGGCAGGTTTTAAGTTTTGTTATTATAAAATCATAAACACGTTGGTGTCGTCTTTGTTGGGGTTGATTGAAATAAACTCTAATTCAAATGAACAACATGCCAATATATGTCAGATCAGTTAGAACATCTCATCATCGTCGTCGACGTCGTCATCATCGCCATCATCAGCGTTTGAAAAATGAGCCGACAATTGAGATGATGGAAACATTTTCAAAACAGTAGCATCACTATCAGGCATTTAAAGGTAAACATTTACTTGCATGTACGTTATTTTCAACGTGTGTTGCATGTGAAGTGTTTGTGTGCGTGGGAAAGTAATGTATGTGTGCGTGTGTGCGTGTTGTGTCCGTGATCTTTCAACTAAATACTCTGGCATGCGTTTCATATACATCAAGTATATCATATATCAAGTTAGCATGTCAGTCATACAGAAAGCTTATTTTCATGTTTGAAAGCACTTCGCATTTCAAATGATTTCTATTAAAAGATGCAAAAACTGGTAAAGATCGTTTGAGGCATCTCAAGGAAGTATGTGTGCTTCCGAAGTTGAGTTGCACGTTTACGTACGACCAGCAGTTCTTAGAAGTGCGTTCAAATTTTGAAGTGCATTTGCAACAACAATAAACATTACGTACTTTAGTTTATATCGTTAGCTTTCTGTATAGCACTCCATCTCTGATAAGAAATATTAGGCAGGAAGGAGAATAGTTATTCCAAATTTTTGTAATTTTTGTAAAAGTATTTTCTTATTATTTGATTGATATATTGAAAAGATTTATTTTCAATTTTTGGTGTTTTATAAAATAATTAATTTTCTGTTCACAAAAAAATGTGAATTCTTTTGGCAAGAAAGAATATTAATAATCTTGCAAAGAAAGATTTTTATCATTTGTTTGATTGTGTGCAACTCAACGAATTGCGGATTGTTTGATTCCTTTCCATGTTGTTGCATTATCTTCTTGCTCATCGGAGTATATTCTTATTTGAGTTGATTTATTTGAAATAAATTAATTCCATGACCGATCTTTTTACAGTGATGTGAGTGCGTGCTTATGTGAAAATGCATGCATGTATGTGTGTTTGTGTGCGTATGTTTGTGTGGCGTTTGTTTGTGTGTGTAAATGTATGTGTTCAATTTTGTGAGCATGCTTTTGTTGATTGACATTTAAACTATGTACATGCACTGCTTAAAAGTCTTAAATAATCAACGTATTTATAGTTTGCAATGCTTTTTGTAATTACAGGCAAATAAGTTGTATTGTACCTACGTGTATAAATGTTTATGATAAATCGAGACAACAAGACTACATTTACATTCGGTTACATCTTGAAGTTGAAAGGAGGAAAAACTTCACGTCACTTCAACTTCACGACGCTTCAAAACAAAAAAAAAACAGAATAGCATCACTTAATGTTTGCTAGCTGATGAATGGCGGTAAAAATAGACAAAATCTCAAAAGCACATAATTCGCACACAAACACATACACACGCGCGCACACAAACACACACACATTAGAAAACAAAAATGTTTTTTCAGGTTTAGATAAAAACTTGGCCTTGTGTGTGATAATAAAGAACCAAGTAAAAAATTAAACCATCTCGAAAAAGACAATGGCTCACTCATTGTGTTTGTATAAGTGCATGTATGTTGCTAACTGTTGTGCGAAGCATGTTCAGTTCAATCATCTTATTTGGTTACTATTACGTAGTTATTTGATTAATAACTTGTTCTACGATATCTTCCGAATGTGCACATCATGCACATATAACGTACAAACAAACAATCACACGCACCGATCCCATTATACAAGGCAAGGCAGCCTGTGTGCCGAAATAAGAACGAACGTAAGTGATGATGCAAGCGTTCTTTGTTGTTAATGTTATTGTTTTGTTGTTGTTCTGTTGGTGTTTTTTATAATTTTTGTTCTAGTTTTGTTTAAACAACAATCTCACCACCACCACCTGTACCGATAGCAACAACAACATGGAAGATGTTATGAAACAAAGCAAAGAACTTGCGTTGATATAACAAGACGAAATGTGATTTATTGGCCAGGGCAAGCAACAAGTCAGCACTTCAAATGTGAATCATCAAATTGAAGGAAGGAGTGTGAAACAAATATGACGACGACTTGCAGGTATTACAGGTAATTATTATTATAAGTTGTATCTATATACACATTTGTATCCCATATAAGCCTTAAATTATTATATTTAAATCAAAAATTGTTTTAAATAAAGTCTTACATAGAATTTTACTTTGTAGTAGCACAACATAACCAGCTAGCTATAACTCAAATTCACTTGAATTATGATGTCTCTCTGTATATAGCAATCTAAGAACGTATGTATGTATGTATATATATATATGTATGCATGTATGTATATAAATATGTATGCATGTATATAAGTACGTCTGTATATTTGTATGTATATCCATCTTTATGCATATTTTTTTCTAACTCACCGAGTACAACGCCATTAAAAAATTACCTGTGAGTAATGCAATCTGATAGTTTAATTTCTTGCCTGTCATAATTGTACTGATGTGAAAACAACGGCTCTCTAGAGGAATATAAACTAAAACCAACAATGAAATAACAACTATCGCTACTACTACTATTGCTATTACAGAAACTGCTGCTGCTGCCGCTACTACTACTAGAGCTATACTACTACTACTACTACTACTACTACTACTACTACTACTACTACTACTACTACTACTACTACTACTACTACTACTACTACTACTACTACTATTAGTGGTAGGTGGGGGTGGTAGGTGCCAGGCGAGCAAAGTCAAAAATGATAGAGTGATGGATGAAATGAAGAAATTAAAAGGATAAAAGAATAACGAATGGATTAAAAAAAGATGAGTGGAACAAAAAAGTGAAAAAACTAAAAGCATGATAGTTAGAATGAAGAAGTGAAATAAAAAGAATAAAAGAGTGTGAGGGATACATGGAGCGAGATTGAAAAAAATAAAAAAATATATTGACAGATGGGAGTGAAAGAATCGAGAAAAATGAAGAAATGGTTGATAGAGTAAACAAAAAGATATAATGATATAATGTCTTATGATATAGTATATGATGATTTAATATTATATTATATGGTGATACTAATTTATCTATCTAAGAGATTGACCATGACCAGTTGAAAATTCAAATGACTGTTGCAAATTATACAATAAATTAACTTTTAGAAGATTAAAAGGCTGACATTTTTAAAGATTTATGAGTTAGTTAGTACGAGCATAAAAAACCTAAATCTATTGTGAGTTGCAATAACAAAAAAAACTGAAAATGAATGGACTAAAGTAACGATGGATAGGAAAGTTGTCGTAGTTAACCACAGGATGATTGATTCGAGTGATGGAACGATAACGTTTGCTATCTTCCGCCTAAATTTATTATATGGGTTTTATTTAATAAAAAGATGTTTTCAGCAAGTTGTTCCAGAAAGTACGATCAATCGGTTAATTAATTAATTAATTAATTAATTTGTATTAATTAATTAATTAATTAAGTTTTAAAATAGTTAATAAGTTTTTAAAATTAATATCGTTGAATTTTCAGACACTGTGCTTAACGTTAAGGGGAAAAGAAATAAAGGTAGGTACTGGGCATTTTGTAAGTACACATATGTAATTGTTACACGTATATATGAGCCTACTTGTAGCTGAGTTTGTTTTTTCAAAATATTTTGCCTGTTAAAAATACAAGAGTATGTGAATGAATATTATAATTATGCATATATATGCATGTATCTGTGTTAATTTATTTATCTGTATATATATGTGTGTGTGTGTGTGTGTGTGCGTGTGTGTGTATGTGTGCGTGTGTGTGCGTGTGTGTGTGCGTGCGTTAATTTTTGAATTTTATTATGTATGTCATACCAAATATGACTGATTATGTGTGTTTATATAAATATATACACACAAATACTCACATATATTTATATTTTCGTACATTCAAACGTTTACACGTGCATGTATATTTATGTTAACGTGTATGCATGTATATGGAGCGTTGACGAATAATATGGAAATATTAAGTTTGCAGTTTTGCATGGTAGGTGAGGAAAGTTATCCATACATGGGAATTGAGTGCTGATACAAATGCAGTTTGTTCGTTCGTTCGTTTGTTGTTTTCAAATTGGTTTAGTTAGGAAAGGTTTGGTGCAAAAAAATAGCACTGTAATGTGAGTTTTTAAAAATTATTTCAAATAAAAATGTAATAAATGTTAATGAATCTAACAATGCCAATGCTTAAACTCGCAGTTGTACTAACAACATTTTTCAAATTTAGAAAATCACAAATACGAAATTGTGATATTGATGCTGTGAATCAATAATTTGCCATTATAAAATGGAATATTAACATAAAACAAACTGTCAACAACTTGTAAAACAATTGCAACTCCGGACTAAACCAATTAGTTAGTTGCTCGTCAGCATCCAACAACTCACACACACCATGTCGTCGGATTCCAAGAAACAAGGATTTTTCTCAAAATTGTTCAGTTCGTCAAAAGATAGTTCAGAGAAAAAGAAATCTCGCTCGTCATCGTCATCATCTTCGCATCCATCGAGCCCCTCCACACCAGCCACAAATGAATGCTCTTCATCTTCCTCACGACCACAGTTTCAACAAGCGCCACAGCAGCAGCAACCTCAGCGACAACATAAGAAGCGCAACTTGAGTCGCAAAAAAACAAATCGCAATCAAACGTCGTCAATGCAACATCAGCCGATGAGTAAGGTCGACGTGTCGAAACCTCTGGAATTCCCAGCCACTCCAGAAACCATTCTCGCCTACCACAAGAAAAGACCAATCCTGTCGAAGAACGAGGAATGGCTCATCGTGGAGCTGAACGAATTCGAATGTTTGGTGGAGAGCATGGACATTGTGCGGACCATCGCTGAACATTCAAAGTTCTTCGAAGTGGAACCGGATGATCTATGGCAGGAATTCTTTGAATTTGTGGAGGATCTGTCTAGTTACGATGACATCATCAATTTCGATGTCTGGCAGGAATTCAGGGATCAAAAATATCCGTGTTGATTCGTGGAGCGTGTTGAACATTAAGTCAATTATATTGCTAACATTTTACGCTACTAACAATCCTATCAAACTAGCATTGTTAGAGTAATATTTTAAAAAATTTTATTGAACTTCATCTTGGTTCAAGAAGTTGCGGCATAAATGTAAATGATTCACATAAATTGTAATAGAATTACAAATATACTTATATTAAATGTTTCCCTCAACGATCAAGCAATTAACTTTATAGTATAATTGAATTTTTTTTATAACACCAACAGCCCACATTATTACAAGTTATCCACGCCTGGAAGGTATCTTTAAAACGTTTGATTGGTTGAAAATATTTGGCCGTTAAACTACCCCTTCAGTGAAAGTTTATTTTCCCATTAGGATAGGGGATATTTTCATTTATTTTCCCATTAGGATAGGGAGAGAGGTGATTAAGTCAATTTTAGCTTTACATTTCGTTTGCAGTTGCTAACTAATTACCATCCATACCATACCTTAAAGCGAAAATGAAAACTATATGTAAGAGCTACTCGATCATTGTACATTAACAATAACATAATATGAATGGTATTATTCTTATTATATTGTACTATATTATTATCCTGTACACAAATCTTTGCAAATCGGAACACTACGTACCTTTCAACATTTGAATTCATTCTATTAAATCTATATTTATTATATTGTTGTTTCAATAGTTTTTCTGCGAAATTTATTTAACACTGGTGAACTAACTGAGCATTGAAATAATTTTCGAATTTGTAATCTAACTGATAGTTTTTGTGGCCTTATTAAAATGTTGAAGTTTCATTAAAAATATAATATTAATTCTACACTAGGTTTTTGAAAAGCATTCACCCCACATGTAATTTTGTGTTCAGGTTAATTGGCATTACATTATTCTGGGATACAATTTTTGAAGATCATTCAGACAAAAAATAGTAAAAATCGTGTAATAAACGTTACTAAGTTTGAAATGAACAACAACAAATGATTTTTTAAATAATAAAACTGTTTGAATAATTTTTGTGATTATTTTCATGATCGATTCAGGGGTTTTTATTTGCTTACGAACAATTATGACGGCTCAGCAACAAGTTTTAAAGGTGAAGATTTGGTTTGCCTTTCATGAAAATGATAAATAAATGTAGGGCTTTATAGAAAGTGCGCATAATACGAATGAATTTACTAACGGTGCTGAAGAAAGAACATAAGTCGGAATTATAAATTTTATTTTATTAGAAGTCTTGACACAGTCTTCGACACGTCAATCGAAACTGTTTTTATATTCTACGTCAGGGGTAGGCAAACTTTTTGATGTGAGGGCCGCATTGAGAACTACTTTTCCTTTGAAGGGTCGCATATGTGCTTAAATAGCTAATTTTTTCGACCCGGGGAAGAATTTTTTAAGATTTGTGACTCCTTTTTTTGGTCATAATGTCTGGCTGACGACCTTTTTTGGCAAACAAGGCCCGCGGGCCGCATAAAATAGCGTGGCCCGCGGGCCGTAGTTTGCTCACCCCTGTTCTACGACGTAATCCTTATTTGTTTATTGTTCAGTAAAGATAGTTAACGCCGGTAAAACATCAGTGCAAGTATTTTAGCCTTCATCTATTGCCCATCCTATGTGCACCTTAAACTAAATGAACGCTTGGACATTATTTGTTTATTATTTGCACTTGTTACTTTTTACTTGATACTTTGTACAAAATATCTAAAATAAAAATAAATAAAAAATTCCAGTGGCTCGTACCTATTTTCCTTCAAAGTAAATTTTATTTAAAGAAAATTCAACAATGATACATTGTACAGCGTAAACATTTGCATAAAATAAAAACGTTACAAAATTGTGAAATGTACGAGTTCACAGGCTGGGGTTTATTGGTGTGGAGCTTGAGGTGCCGCCTAGCTCTACCTCCTTTCTATTCTACCCCATCAACGTCGGCTTCCTCGCCGTAACGAGGTGGCCTTGATGTTGTTGCTTCTGCCAGAAATCGGTTGATTGTTGTGCGAGGGTTGCTGTTGCAGTCGAACGTGGAGGAACGAGGCGGCTTTCGAATCAAATGCTGTCCAACAACTACTTTTTTCGGTTGATATTTCCGGTATATATATATATATATATATATATATATATATATATATATATATGTGTGTGTGTGTGTGTGTATATATATATTTGATTTATATACAAACATTTTCAAAAGTTTTAAAGGCGGCAAAATTCACAAATTTTTGAAAATTTTTTTTTTTTCATTTTTGTTCATTCATTCAATTGCAAGGTGTCGCTAGGAGTCCTACCCGTGCCCATGGATAGGATATACATTATTATAAATATAGATATTATATCCATGGTTCCATCCTAACATTTTATCAAAAATCAAATGTCAATTTGCAAACAATAATCATTGTATCTTAATGACCAATATTTAAATTTTTTTAATCTTATTGACTAGCGAGCATAATTTGAACAGCCTAAATCCTGTATGTACCGGTTGATGTTAGCGCGGCGAACAAGTTTCAATGTTATCCTTCTTAATTTCTTTAGCTTTCTAACATTCTGAAAACAAAACGTTAAAATCTATTATTTTTGAGTTGAGCATTGTAATATCTTTGTTGAAACTCGCGTAAATAAACGATAAACATGCATACATTTTTAAAGTAAATGTAGCAAAATAATCAAAATCTTCAAATTATATTTCTTTGTGATGAATCAAAACATAGGTGATGTGTGCATGGTCCAACCCAACGGATTCTTAATTAAATTGTCAGAATTCTTCAAAATTTTCAATCAGACAACACCTTTTATGAAGAAGATTGAGTAAATATATATATATATATACATATATATATATATATATATATATATATATAATATATATATATATATATAATTAATATAGTACTAATATCTCCATCATCTTCTCAATGGGAGCTGAAGGATCAAAAGAGAAAAGTAATCCCTTGTCTAGATTAAAATAAATTTCCTTATTAAATAAACATTTTATTAAATTATAAAATACTTGAAAAATTCTTCATAAAAATCTAAATTTTAAGAATATTTAGATATATAACAATTTCGTTGATGATTTTGTTTTTAAAGAACTTCAAAACTTTATTAATTTATTTGGATAAATTCTGTGATATAATAATTGAAATTTGATTAATATTAACAATATTTGGTCAAATTTTGTTACAATTTTAAAAATATTAAAATTTTTCAAAAATAAATTCTACTTAGATGGGGTTTGTACAGCTTCATTTTTTAAATGTTATTTTTTTACTTTAAAATTACATTTTTATTCCACAATATTTTATCAGAAAAGGAGAAACATGATAAGAAGAAAGGCGGTAATGAAAAAGACGACAAAAAGGGTAAAAAAAATGAAAAATCCAAAAACCCCAACCAAGGTGCATTTCTTGTATATTCATAAACGGCAGTTGTAAATATTAATTAGCTGTTATTCATGAAAGACTTTCTTGACATTTATTTGTCCAAAGCATTTTTCTTCAGCTAAGATTATCAGCAGAATATTTTAAATTATGCGTGTGATATCATAATTATCATAATATATTATAATTTATTTATTCATGATTATGTTGTTTATTGAAATATCTTTATTTTTTTCCTGTTTAACACGAAGCTAAATAATAATAATAATAAGAATAAGAATAATAAAAAAAATAATAATAATAACAATAATAACCTATAACAATCCTTTATACAAAGATTGAAAATATATCGAATTGAACAATATAACGCCGAACTAACGCTAAAACATTCAATCGCTCACTGGATCCATACAATTTAAAGTGCATTTTTAAATGACTCCTAATTTATCTCACAATTTTCAAACGACCACATTTCAATTTTTGCTTCCTCTTTATAAGGGAAAGTAGGAGCTACCAGTTGTGACTTAAAAGTTCATCAGTTAGAAGCAGAGTTGCTCGTAAACTTCAACACGTCCTTTTCTGGATTCTTCCTTGAAATTCCGTCCATCTCGATAACTGAATCCACAAGAAGGGAAATGATGGAGAAGGTCAGATCAGACAACAAACGGAAAATGGTCTTCACTCGCCCCTTTACTGATCGGTCGAAGGGATTCATACGGTTTTTCTGAGGGCGACACACTTCTCAGATGTTATATTGTACAGTTTTTGAAAATTTATAGAGAAATTATATAAGTTGCTTTTGAAATACCGTAATCTTTATATTTCTTTTGTGTGCAAGTTCGTTCGTTCGTTCGGCCGTCATTTTTAATATTTCAGTTATTTTTCACTATCATAATTTATTGAGTAAAAAGCTTTTTACAAATGACCCAAAAGTAAACTTAAGTTTCCGTTACCTCGATGTTACGTTCACTTTTGGGTCAATAGCTAACCTGGACCTCAATGCTTTTTATCTGGCTGTTTTGTAAGTAAATATCAAATGCATCCAGAGACCTACAAAAATTGGAGGTTTGAATGGAATTTCCATTGCCAATTCAGCTTTCGTGAATAATTGATGGCAATAATTTATTACCAACTCCAACAATATCAATAACTTAAAATAAATTAGAACAAAAACATTATAAATAATTATAAATAAAACTATTTTTAACATAACGAAACGCCAAATTTGTCAACTATTTTAAACAAAAAAGCATTCTTCCACATTTAAACGCCGGTACAGACCACTTACTAGAGCAACATAAAACAGACTTAACTAGTTAACTGGTGTTTTACTAACCCACCACTTAAATTACTTTGGTTTTCTAAATAAATAAATGAAATTTGCAATACATTTGAAAACCGAAGGATTACCCAAGCAAGCAAACGCAAAATTAAGTGGCCCTTCAAAATCCAATAATAAAAACAAGCTTACATCCAGGAAGGCTGGTGCTGACATGCATCCCCCAACAAAACACGAAAGAACAAAATATTTAAGATTCTGCGCAAATTATTTTAGCTCTAATTTTCTAATCAAGTATTTACAAAATTAATTGAGAATTTTCAAAACAGATCATAAATTTTAATCTTTACTATTTATAAAATTTATCCCCAACCACCAAATTCTGGACCGAATAAAGTTTCCTAAAAGTGTAATATCGTTTCAAAACCAAAGATATGCTATCGCAAATCAATGTTTGTGGTGAAACACGCATAAAGTAAACAATAAATGCACGCCTGTTTGTGAATTTACGAACTAAAATAGCTCTGTGTTTTTTGTTTAACCACTTTGACTGACAGATCAGACGTAAAATTTTTTTATAATAGCAGCCATGCTTTTTTATAAATTCATACAAAAACAGTTTCTGACAATTTTTTTGCACTTTTTCCAAGCTCAAAATTTGTTCGCATGTGGTAACACATGTTTGATATTTTTTCAAAATTTCAAATTTAGTAATTTATTCGCATACGGCAAAAACTCACATTACCAAAGATCTATCATTATAAAAAAAAAGCAACAACATTACCAACAACAACTGTATAGCAAGGTACAATAAATCAGTTATATTTTTAACAGAAATGGATGTAAAATAATGTACCAAACTCATATTTATTATTTAATTTAACGTCACAATCGATAACAAAAACAAACAACAGCAATAATAGTATTTTATTTTGTTGATAAAAATAAAAATAGTTAAATAATCGTATTTCTGTAAGAAAGACTATAAAACAAATGTTACCTCAACAATGTGATGGCCCAGTAGTACCAATACATAATTTCAATTTGCGTGAGGCGGCCCAGTGTTTCACGACGGTATGTAATTTCAACGCTGAGGAACATTGTCACAGCAACTACGATGTTTGTTGCCCTCAGCAGCTTGCATTGAATCGCTGCTGCTGCTGTTACGATGATTGCAACTGCTGCTTGATGGTGCCTTGTACGTGTTCTCCGACAATGCCGTCTGAACGTCTCAATACAAACCATCAAATCATTTTAAACGCACGTTCGAAACTGCCAAGTTATGCCGATATCACAAGTTCTTTAGTGAATTTAGACTTGTACGAAGATTTGATATCAAGAAGCAGATCTTCTTTATCTCATTTACAACTTAGCAGCTGTAGTGACCTTCCGAGACGTGTTGCTGATGATTGTGATATCAAGCAAAGTTTAAGACATGCAATTGACCAATGCAGTTCAAATAAAAAAATTCAATTCAACGAACTGGATAACCTCATCAGTGCAAGTCGGTTTTCCCCCCCAAAAAAAGAAATAAAATTTGACAAATGTGTTGAAAGCTACGATCTGTGTGAGAATCCAATGCCTCCTCGAATCCAACGTAACTTGAGCTTAGTGCAGAATCTCCTGAACAAACGAGTGGCCAGTGGCGAGGAATGCATTCCTTGCCGCGACAGACGAAGCACGCTTAGTCAATGCGTTCTCAAAAGTAAGATGTACCAATCAAAGTTGAAAAGTTGTGCGGAAAACTCGACGAACGGCGATGAGGTTTGCTACAAAATTACCAGCAGAGCAGGCGACGGTGGCGCGTCTATGAGCATGAGGAATTATAAGACGGTTTGCGACGACGATAAAATTACCTTCAAATTCAACGAAAATTCACAATTTTAATAAAAAACAACTTTTATCTTATTTAATGTTTAAAAATTACAATTAAAGTTTAAGTCGAATAACTTATTATTTAAAATACAATTCAACGAAACCGTTTCAAATTTTTTTCATTAAGAAGCAGTTTATTTACATGAAAACTTGTTTCAGATTAAATTCATTACTACAAATATAAAATCTTTTAAAAAATCAGTAAGGTGATGAAATATTAACTTTTATAAAGTGAGAAAATAATTAATCGGGCTACAAACATTCAGAAGTGAAAAAATGTTTTAATTTTTAAACAGAGTTGATATTGGTAGTTAATTATCGAAGTTTCAATAAATGAAACCGCCACAGGTGCGGCTTTATCGTGCGATGCATGGATGTAGTGAGCTGTTATGATGACAAGGAATAATCATCAGTCATCCAATGCGTTTTTGCATCGGCGACGGGTTGAATTGGAATCTTTCCTCTATTCCATTTGCTGTTGGTCTGCTTCCATCTGCTGTTGTTTATATTCTGTCATCAATTTTGATGCTTTTTTGTTCTCCTCCTTTTCTAATTACGTAACTGCAATCTTGTGTCATGTTTCCTTCTCGCTAGTTTCCGTACTTTTTTGGTAACTTTTTTAGTTATTTTCAAATATTGTTTTTGTCTATTTTATTATTGTCCATTCTTTAGGATCATATGTTGAGATTGGTTATATTGATGATTAGATAAAGTACTTTCTTGAATATAAGATGAACATTTTGCTTTTCTAAATGTATTATTATTAAAAAATTGCATTATCAATTTTTTTACATGCAAACTAACAACCTACTACTTTTGTCCGCTCTTATCATAGTACCCAAATGTGTTAAAGATTGACTTGTGTTCTATTTTTATAATTTATCGTTCATATGATTTAAATACGGACAAGCAAAACACATTACAACACATAATACATTACAACAACGTTAAATATGTATAGGAAGCTAATTAAAATGGTTTGAATTTCGTCTTGCTTTTTTAAAAATAAAACGTCACTAAAATTTTTTTTAAATTTTGTTATTTTATTTATTTTTGTTTATATTTTTACAATTTCGAACAAAAATTTGTAAATTTTTCTTGATTAACATCTAAAATGGGAAGCGGTGGAAAGAAGAAGAAAGAGAATAAGGGCGGCACGGATGACAAAAAGGAGAAGGGAGAAAAGAAAGAAAAAAGCGGTAAGAAAGGAGATAAAAAGGATAACAGTGATGAGAAAGAGGTTTGCTACAAGCAGATGAAAGTCAAACTTCTCATACATTATGATGAGTGCTTTAATTGCACCGTCGCTGAAATCATGGAGGTTTTGTTTCTTTGTCATTTCTTTGAATTTATTATCTAGGTTCTCATTGAAATACTTTTTTTAATTTAAATTTTAATTGGCTAATAATTAAGTAGAATATATTAGATATTACGTAATAAAATGAACATTTTAACTATAGGCACACTCATAATTAAATATTTGTTTAAGATAGGCAGAAGTGGTTTACAAAAATTGTTTGAAATATATCTACTTTATAAATATTTATTATATATATTATTAATACTAATATAATTTTTATTGATCCTATCGTAAAAAACCATTTTGAAATCATCAACTTTTAAATTCTTCATTAATCAAAGACGCATATAATTAACGTTTAAAGATGATAATATTTTTCATCATTCTGCGTTTAATGACAAAAATGTGAAATTTACTGACTGTTGAATGTTTCATTCAAGACCGAGATGGCAGACATAGAGGGCAACGAAATCAACTACCGACTCTACAATGGGGATCATCCGAAGTACGCCGCAGCTTGCGCAGGTGGCTGTACCGATCCATGTGGCAATAATTCTTGTCCTTTCAAAAAAAACGCTGATTCATGTGGCCCGAGTGGAAGTAATAACGGTCTTGGTGTAAGAGGTACGTGTGGAAGTAATCACGATGCTGATCAAAGAGGTCCGAGTGGAATTAATTACGATGTGGGTCCAAGAGGTCCGAGTGGCATTAATTACGATGGGGGTCCAAGAGGTCTGAGTGGAATTAATTACGACGGAGGTCCAAGAGGTCCATATAGAAGTAATTACGATGGTGGTCCAAGAGGTCCGTGTGGAAGCATTTACGATGGGGCTCCAATAGGGCCGAATGGAAGTAATTACGATGGGGGTCCAAGAGGTCCGTGTGGAAGTAATTACGATGGGGGTCCAAGAGGTCCGTGTGGAAGTAATTACGATGGGGGTCCAAGAGGTCCGTGTGGAAGCGATTGTGGTTATGGACCAAGAGGTCCGTGTGGAAGCGATTGTGGTTATGGAGCAAGAGGTCCGTATGGAAGCGATTGTGGTTATGGACCAAGGGGTCAGTGTGGAAGCGAATTTGGATTTTGTCCTACTTGTAGTTGGTGCAGTATTTCTGATGGTGGTCCTGGGTGTGAAACGGCCAGCGGCTCCAGAAATCCTTGTAATGATAACTCTCTCCTTATGTTGGATTATTATTGAATAAATAATTTTGTTTGTATATATAATATATGCACAATGTTTCAACAAGTTTCTATCGCTACCAACTTTTTATTGGAACATATCTGAGAAATAACCAGAGAATTATCATTCCATTATCACCAACAGTGCTTGCCAGTTGCTTAATTTAGGCCTATTCAATTTTAGAAGACTTTTTGAAAAACGTATTTATGCAATATTTCAATTATATTGTGTTTCGTATTAAACCTCAAAAGAAAATATTACTATAGCTTTTTAGATTTCTATCAAACCTATAATTAAATTTTTTAAATATTTTAAACGAATAAAAAAATATTTTGATTGAATAAATAGTAAACTTGAAAAATAATGCGAAATATATGTGAACAGCGTTTAAACTTCCTCGTCCTAAAAAAATATTATTTGGCGGTAACTTTGATGTCATCAGACGATTTGTAAACATTAATTAATTACAACATTGTTAACAAATTTTATGCTAATCAGTATTATAAATTCTTTAAAGCATGAGCTAGCACTGGTCACATTACGATACCTTTCGATAATATCAAAAAACAGCTTTTTAAAATTGAAATTATCTTTTTCAAATTTTACATAAAATATCCCGCTAAATATTCTTTATTATAAATGGGAAAAGGAGGAAAGCCTAAGAAAGGTTTTTGAAATATTCAATTTTGTAAATTATCGCAAAAAAGATCGCGAGAGTTACTTAACGCAACATCATTAATCAATGTAATAATTGTCACTAGCCGAGCCATTCCGAACAGTCAGTCCGCTTGAGATTTACTGCTCAAACATTATCATATTTAAATATTCATTTTTGCATGGAGATCGTTTGGCGGCCGGAAAGGTCAGACGAACGCTCCATACTCTAAGATTCCTCTAACAATTTTCCTCACATTTTTCACGTTTTCTAACGCTAAACATTTAATCGCACGATGATGGTATTTATCACAGTTGTTATTAAATTAATCGACAAAGTTGATAATGTTATTCTGCAGTTTTAAGATAATTTATTTATAATATAATAAAGTATTAATATTATTATTAATTATAAAATTATAAATTATATTATTATAAAATTATGTGATTATTGAATTCTTATGTACAACACAAAGATGGAAAAAGTAATAAAAAGGGTACAAAAGATAAGGAAGAAAAACCAAAGGGTGATAAGAAGAAGAGTGGTGAAGATGGAGAAAGTGCAAGAGAGATTTGCGATTTCGACGGCTGCAAGTGTTACAATCAACTTAAAGTTATCCTGCTCTTCACCTTTGACGAAGAACTCAAATGCGCGGTCAGTGAAATTTGTCAAGTAAGTTTCAGGAAAAGAATTATTTTTATTCGCTACTCGGTGGTCCTTTATTGTGCTTTCGTGTTGTATTACCAAGTGTTGTTTGCGTGTGTGTGTGTGAGTGTGTGTGTGTGTGATGTGTGTAATCTTGATTTAAAATGCACATTAACTGTCATGAATGGCATGTCTTCCTCGGCTCCCAATGCGGGCTGACAGTTTCGAAAGCTGTCTGCATAAGGGTTAAAAACTTTTAAGCACATAAAAAAAACATGTATGGACGTTGCGCGATAGGAACGTGTGTGCCACACTTTCGGCGACGCAGAAAGTCAAATTGCATCTGAGGGGTGGAGAAATTGCTAGAAAACTATTTCACAAAACCATGATTTCAAAATTTTACAATAATAGATGCAAACTAGTATAAAGTTTAATAATAATGAACGATATTTATTGTATAAACAGATTCAATTATTAGAAGCCCTAGGTTCAGAGATCAACGCTCGTCTGTTTGGTACTCCTTGCTGCGCAGGGACAAAAAAATGTTGCAAGGGAAAGGGATATAGTAGAGGTGCTGGTTTTGGTGTTAATGGTGGTCTTGGTAGTGTTGGTGGTGGAGGTGTTAGTGGTGGTTTCGGTGGTGTTGGTGGTTTTGACGCTGATTATGATGGCGGTGCTTTTTACGAAAGCCTTTAAAACTCTGTTTGACGACTAATGAAATATTTTGTCGATGTACTCAGCATCAAATTATAATTTTTTTCAAAATATAATGAAATGAAATGATTGTCTATTTTTCATTATTTGACTAAAAGTAAACAAACAAAAAGTTGCAAGTAGTTTCAAGTCATTGATGTTAAGCCATCGTTCGAGACATATATCAAAATCAGATCAAATCACTTTTATTCAATCAAACAAAACAAAAAAGCATGAATGATCCGGAGACCAAAAAAAGAAAATTAATTCTTGTGGGCTCGGCCACCGTGCAAATCAAAATAGCTTCTCAATGATAACACATCGAGAATAAATTAGAATAAGGATAAAATAAAATTGTCAATAGGAGAAAAATGTATCAATGTTAATAAAATATATATTTACATATAAACAAAAAAAACACATATATATATACACATATATACATACATATATATACATAGTGATGGGTAGTTACTAACTACAAATAGTTAACTAGTAGATAATAACTACTAACTAACAGTTAAAAAGTAGTTAATAATTATTTTATTTTGAATAGTTTTGTTAACTACTAGTTGAAAATTTTTAGTAGTTAGTAACTATTATAGCTAACTATTTTTAAACATATTTTTCCTCAGAATAATTTTTTTAATTGCACATCCCTATTTTCAAATTTGTTTATTAGTTTCCGCGTCAACGCCATTTCTTTTGTATGCAAAATTTCTTTATGAATACAAAAATGAATACAAAACATTAATACAAAATTTATTGACAGATTGTGAATGAAACAACAGGTACAGTCCATATAATTAGAATAAAGCCATATTAAGAACAAAGAAAACTAAGAGAATACAAGTTATATATTTATTTACATTACGCGCAGATTGCAAACCAGTGAGTCCTGTACCTTCATCTTCTAAAGAAAGCGAACCTTAGCAAATAAATAGTGACAATTTGTATGATTAACTCGAAAATAATCAAAATTTTTCGGATCATATGTTGGCTGATAAACTCAAGTTACTTGGCTAACCCATCTAAGAATATTGAAAGTTTATTTTCCTATCCATCAGTATGTGTAAGTTACATTAAACTAAATTCAACATTACCTAGCTCTGGAGTGGTCGAGCGTCTTTTCAGTGTTGCTGGACAAATTCTAACTGATAAACGCTGTAGACTGTCTGATGATCATACCAATAAAATGATTTTTTGAGAGATCATCTTAACCCTGCGATGACGGCAATTTTTTTCATCCACTGAAGACGAATGGGGTAGATTTCTACCCCAAGGTTAAATCTGATGATAACAACAAATAATGATGACACAAAATAAATTTTATCATGCAAATAAAACACGTTTGGTGAATAACAACAATTTTAATGAACAAAACAATATAATAATTTGTTTTTATTGTTACAAAAAATTTATTTAATTTTTTAACACAAAAAGTGAATGTAATTTGTTCAATTTGTAGAACAATTCCTACATATCATAAAAACATGATCTCTACATGTTGGTTTGTTGCACTTTGAACATTTTAGTGCTGTTTTCTTATCCTTTATTCTAGGACAAGCATGACATCTGCCGGATTTGCTGAGTATAGCAGGAATCTTTGTCTCTACCAAGTCATCCTTGTGGCCAAAGTTAATCATACTCTGTGAAAAAAATTAAATAATTTTAATATTGCAAATATATCAGACTTGTCTCAAAAATTTACTTCTCCAAGTTCCAGCAGAAATAATCTTCTTTTATGTGATTTGTTAACATTCCAGTCAGGATTCAACAAAATCCATACTATATAGGCATTTAAAGCACTTATGTCTAACATATTACTGAAAACTGCCATTGGCCATCTTCTAGTCATTCTTTTAGTTGTGTACAGCCTTAACATTTGATCTGATGTGTCAACTCCACCTTTGGTTGAATTATAATCTAAAATCATAATTGGCTTTTTTGTACTGGATGTGTTGTCTAGGTCACATTGTGTATGCATACTGCTCATCAAAGTTACAACTTTTCCTTT